GCTCACAAATAAAGCATAAATAAACCTCAACACAATATATATTATTCTACGTATTACATGTACTTGTATTCTTTGTTATATATCCTTTCACGTAAGTTGTCAATATTGATGTCTCTCTTTTTCGGAATTTGGAGAAACGGAGCAGATTTAAAATACAATAGTGAAAATCTCGATACGTATATCTGAAACGTTAACAGTGATATGTGTTAAGCTGTATCAAATCTAAAATACAAAGTTTCGATGAAAATATTCAAATATAATATATATATCTATATTTCAGGTTGACTATTAAAATCATTGTATCAATTAAAAGGAATTTGATTGCTTGTTTGCTTTTGTATTTTCAGTAAAAAAAAAAATGGTTATTGTAAAGGATTTGAATTTCATTTTATTCATCCCTTTGTTTGTATCTCTTTCTTCCAGCTATCTGACTGTCTGTCTCTTAAACATACGGGACTTAAAGACGTTCCCTTGACTAGATAGAAAACACAGTAAACTTCAATACTTATCATTTATATAGCACAAGGGCATATATAAATATTTTGACAAGTGATATCTCATTGTTCAGGAAAGGTGGATGTGTGTTTCTCTTAGATATAACAAGCGATTTCTAAATTTTATATCATTAAGGGTTGCAACTGCAACGCTTACATGATACACTTGTGTGTGTCATTAAGCTTCGAATATGTCGATATTTGCTTTTTTCATTAAGCGTCGGTGTTGCACTGCATTTGTGACGCTTAATGATATAATTCTGTCATTAAGCGGCGATTTAGCAATAGCGGTCGATAATGTCAGCTATAAATGCAATGATTTATGGCATTAAGCGTGCAATTGCAACGCTTAATGCTATTTGTATCATTAAACGGCGTTTAATCATTAGAGGTTGCTACAGGGCTTAATTAGAGAAGTATGCATACCAAACATACAGTCCCTGTCTTTTATGGTTCAAAAGTTACGGCGAAGATAAAGTTTACAGAAAAAAAACTATTTTTAGTATATAGTGACAGTCAAGGTCAAAAGGTCATTAACCCTGGTGTCATCTAGAAGAGCTTTATTAGTGAAGTATGCATACTAAATATTAGATCTCTATCTGACATGGTTCAAAAGTAATGGCGAAGGTAAAATTTTTGCAGACAAACAGACAGCAGAAAAACTATGCACCTCAAATCTATCGATCCAGGTGCATAAAATTGCTTCGTAAAAACTTTCGTAGCCAGATAGACAAGGTAACAGTGGCATTATATGCCGACTTTGACGTATGATTTAGGCCTATTTCTTTCTGTTTGTACTACAATAATTACCGTTAGGTAAACGTTAACGTTAATGAGCAACTGATGATCGTTGTAGACGTCTGTGAAACCACAGGGTTTTTCTGAAATTGATACTCAAACCACCTAAATGTTTTTCACGCGCACATTGTTTAAGATTAATCTAGAAGACGAAACATTTTAATTTCAATAGAATACGATTAATACAGATAAAAACTTTTAATATATTTTTTTTTATCTTTCCACGGTCCGGAGTCAAAATATTTGACTTCACAACTCCCTCCCCATCATTTCAGAATCAAATGTTCATTTACATTATCGTATTGAAGAAGAGCAAAAAAAAATGCACTTTTAAAAGAAAATTCTGGAAGGATGGATCGCCAGAGTTTTGCCAGATAAACTTATGCTCTCTTGAACTCCTAAGGAAAGCCGCGTCAGTTTTATAGTATAAAAGATGTCGGGTTCGAGGTACAATTTAATTCATTAACTCAAGTTCTCTAATTGATAATTGTTAGGTGTGAACTTGTCCTGAATACAGAATTCTTATACCTGTTCAATCCGAGGTTCACAGCTCAGATGGGTTGTAATTAAGGAATGTTTTTAAGTTTTGAGTGAGTTATTGGTGTGTGAATCACACACACTTGTCACGTACGCATATTTCATGAAGCGCGCTAGCGCTTCATGAAAAATATGCCTACGTGCAAGTCTGTGTGATTCACACACCAATAAATCACACTAAACTTAAAAACATTACTTATATTTACATTTTACATGACTGAAAGCAACTAAAATATTCTCAATATTTGAATTTCTCTCTGCCCTATATCGTTGCATTTTTCCAAACGTCGCTGTATCCTTATTGTGACGTCACTTTAACGCACGTTTCTCCATGTATATCTTTACGCGTGAGTTTACACGAGAATGGTTTTCAAATCATTTTCACAGTTGGCTTACTGGGAAAACACAGCAAATTTAAATATCATATATTACCTTTCACCTTTCTAACATGTTGTACTCATTGAATACTCCCTCATTTAGTCTAACGCACTGACAACATCGCCGTCGCAGTTAGGATTTATTGATCAACGAAGTGCGACATTATGATTTTATATTTTGTGCCTTTTTTCTTTCGTAAATCTGAACAAATAAAATCATATTTTTTTAATAATTATTTGCGGTTTTAATCATTTCCTAACCGTTTTATAATTTTTTCAAATAAGATTTGAACTGTTTTTGGATTTTCTAAAAACGTTCATAAAAAAAAATACTTTTGATTTTCTGTCCGATTTTGTGAAAAATCAAAAAGCTCTTGAAAGGAGATACACATTAATTTGACAGAAGAGAGAATTAACATGATAATGTTAGAGATGGTTAAAATATTGTTTGATTATGTGTCACAATAAAAACTTTTTTGAACTTAAAATATCCTTTTATTTTTACATCTACTTGGGATATGTTCTGATTTGTGCCATATCCTGCTTTCAATTAAAATAGAGTGGAATTGAAATTTAGTACAAAATAGGTCGCAGTCGAGATACAATTTAATTATTAAACAAGGGTTGTATTTCAAATATCTGTTTGCATTAATTATTGATTATTTCATGTACATATTTCGCACGGAGATTTAGATAAATAAGCCCCCCCTCCCCTTGCGCCTTAAAGCACATAGTGAGATATAAAAGGACAATTAATATTCTAACATACAAAGGTTATAAGAAGCGTCAACAAACGCCTGGAATATTATTTTAGTACCAATATACTTTGTTACTTCGAAGAAAAGAATCTTATTAAGTATGAAATTTTTAAATGCAATTATAGCCATCTTTATTAATTCTATTTTATACATATAATTTATAATCAAACCACTCATTGTTATATTTATGCGCCCGAATTTTTTCGGGACGCATATTGTTTTTTCCTGTCTTTCTGTTTGTCTATTGATCTATTTGTCGGTTTGTCTGTCTGTTGTCAACTTTTACCATAGCCATAACTTTTGAACCGTAAGAGATAGTGACTTCATATTTAGTATGCATACTCCACTACTTAAGCAGTTATAAATAACACCAAGGTCAATGACCTTGTGACTTTGACTTGACCTATATACTAAAAATAGTTTTTTTTTTATTTTTGCCATAACTTTTGAAGCATAGGAGATATAAACTTTATATTTAGTATGCATACTACAGTAATTTAGTGCTTTCAAATGACCCCAAGGACAATGATCGTGTGACCTTGATGTTACCTCTTTTCTAAAAAGTGCTTTATAGAACGCCGGGCGCATAGTGTTTCACAAACACATCTTGTTTTAAGTATGTTTTTTTCTTGGCACACCAAGTCTTCCGTTATTTGAATAAATAATGAACGAGCTTATTTGAATAAATAATGAACGAGCTTACGTAATGATGTAAAAATACCCTACTGTTGCTGATTTTTTTTTTCTCTTTATATCTGCCAGTGGAATAGACGCGTTTTTGCTCCCTTTTTAGTATATTTAAATATGATTATTAAGTCTTCTTCCTTTGTTTTAGCTGTAAAAATACGTCTCGTTTTGACTGCTTCATTACCCCTTACTACAGGTTCTGATATCCATCTCTGTCCATGGCTCGCACAAAATTACTGTAATTTGCACGATAAACAGTACGCGTGTTTACATTATTCCAATAAAATGATTGCCCAAACATTTTTCTTTTAAACGTGATATGTTTTTACTAAAAGTTATTCTTGATCTTCGTTTATTTTGGAGAAATCATGTAATAATTTACTCGGTAGCTCGGCCAATAGAGTGCGACTTCGTAAACAGAAAGTTGTCGGTTATTAACCCCTGCTGCGACTGACCTGATTAAAAGAAATACGTAGCAGCTATTTCTTTACAGTGCGCTCGGCAATTTAAAGTGGAATATGCGGATGTGATCAGGTCCTGTGTCACCACTGGCGGATGCATGATAGGGATCAGTCAATGATCAATCGACCTCATTAAGATTAAAGGTTAAAATAGAAGCCCGGAACCGGTAATTGGCGTCGTTTCTATATGAGTTTTAAATTCTCTAATAAGGACAAAGAAAATACAATCAATTTTTGGGATATTTATATTTTACCCAATTTTAAAAATCTTAGGAAAAACCACTGTAGTAGTGTCTGAAAGAGAAAGGAACGTGGAACCTGCATCTTAGTCTGAGAGAGAATGAATGCAACTCTTTAATTTTATTCCTTGTCGGCCTCGCTTAAACTTTGCGAGATTGATTTGTATATTTATCTAAAACATAACCAAAGGTCAAGATCTATTAGATGAGAGATGTCTTCAGATTTATTTAGATAAATCCCTTTAATGATCCTTTATTATTTAAGCTTGGCCAAATAAGTGATACAATGAATAATTTTTAGGGGTAAGCAGGATAAAACACAATATTTTAAACGGTCATTTTCAATGAAAAGTTAAGGAAACCAGTCATGAATATATGCAGATTTTTATTTCATATTCAACAAAAGAAATGTATGCAGATTGCTTATGTTCTCTCATAAAAAAGACTTTTTATGTTCATGACCTCTTCTTTAAAAGGAAAAGGGGAGGGGCTTCTCCTTGTGCATGTGTGAAGATGTGCCCAATCTGATCTGCTTCCTAATTTCACTGTACTACATGCCAACACTGAGAAAATATGTTTTGTGGGACTGATTTGTAGATTTGTTGTATGATATAGATTTCCTAGATGTGAATATCCTTGATTGATAAGAATGACTCTGATTGTGTGGACGTTATTTCTCTGTGTTTTATTGTACGGACCTGTGACTGAGGCCTGTCCTAGTGGCTGTAGCTGTGAGAGGAGTAACTCCTGTAATGGGAAATATGTAAACTGTGAATATAAAGGGTTAACTGAAGTTCCTACCAACATCCCCACAGATACATGTTTCTTGTAAGTAAATGCCTAAATGTATGTCTGAAAACAAAACAAAGCAGTAAATGTATTTTTGCATACGTTTTTACGAATACATTTTATTCTTTACATCGATGCAATAAAATTCATGTAATAGTTAAGCTTATAATTAAACTTTCCGTAAGGACTATGAATTACATGTAACTCCCTCCCACTAGTTTATGTACTAGTGTGACAAAGAACTGCGGTCAATTCATCGCGACATTACATGTAGCCAGGTGTGCCCCACCATTGACATGCACATCGGGAACTATTCTACCTGTTCGATCCTACTGTCAGTACTGATCAAAATAACGTTTATTTGTTCGGCCTATATTGAAGATTTTGAGCTATGATATTGAAAAAAATATATATATATACTATGTAACTATACTATTAAATAATTTCTAAGATCTATTTTAGAAGGAAAGATCTTATATTCTGTTTTTTGATATTGTGGTGAAATATTAAAAAAAAATCGTTTTACTCCTAATACATTAATTCCGTATTATATTTTTTTTCCAACGAATCACGTGATTTAAAAAGTTTAAATATTCTGAAACATGTTCATGCAACATTCAAATCTAAAAAAAAAAAAACCTGCATAATCCAATTTATATTCGAACACTTTATCGCCTTAACGCAAGAATTGCCAAATAGTAACGAAATAAATGCAAGTAACGATGGTCATGAGAATTTTTAGAAGCAGGTGTTAGCCTTAAACACAAGGTAGTAGGAATATTATTAAAACTGTTTAAAGCTATGTATGCCTGTATTCAACAGTATTTTTTCACAGCTGAAACCAAACGAAAATTTCTGAAGTATGATAAGCTATCAAAAATGAAGCATTCTCGCAAATTCGACGAAATATTATTCGATATTAACAAAATACTGGTCGGGGAAGGAACACGATATTCGCATGCATATTTATAAAGGACTGACGTTTATGTTGGATCTGCGCATGTGCGCGGGAAAAGCATCACGAGAATCATCAGGTCGAGGAAACTATTTTTTGTGACGTCTGTTCAGCGAGGAACCAACATAAGACTGACAAATCGACAAATCAGCTCAATGAGTTGTATTTAATGCATTTATGGGTTACACTACTCAGTACACAAATACTACATGTGTTTTTCGAACAGGCTAGTTTTTTAAATCGCTCTCAGAAAGACGTGGTATATTTCCCAAGCATTTACACGCTTAACGCATTATGTACATTATCATCTACAAATCCCAAGCTAACATTTGCATACAAATGAACAATTATAAAAATAAGAGTTTTTCCCACTCTATAGTACAGGTCCATTCGTTTACAATTTCCCCGTGCTCTACTGACAGTGAAAAGACAATTTCACGTGACTATATATTCCTCGGTACAAAAAGCAACTAGCTCTGAGGTGTGCTCACGTATTGACAATGTTTACAGTGTGTACAACTTCGAAACATACAGTATGCTAACAAGAAAAACTGCATTTGTTTGTTAATGTGAGCATGGGAATTCTCAATTGGTAACTATTTTTTCCTATTTTTCTAAAACAAGTTTAAAAAAAATGCAAATTGGCTTTCCAGCCGTCATTTGAAATCGCAGCGTACAATTCCCTAACCCACGTGTTTGTAGTGAAAACGTAGTAGACCATCATGCTTTTCGGCTCATTCACGAGATTGGACCATTGTTTGCTGTGAGCATGCGAGACCGCGTGTTCATGAATATTTCAATAAGAGGCTGTTTAATATCCGATTCGGAGAGAAATAATTTTTACAAAATAATATTTCATAACTTTTAAAAGTGATGGAGTGGAATTGTCTTAATTGCAGAAATCACATAACTTATGTAACTTGATGAGACACCACATATATTTATTTCTTTGGCAATAAAACACTAATACGGCATATATATCTTTAACTTACCTCTCAGTGGGAAAATATAACAAACATTTCGAGAGCATTGCATTACTCATACAGTCCCCTTCCGGTAACACTGTGTTATCTGGTTCCCATTAAAACTTGACAATTCCGTAATTTAGTTTACAATCATTGAACGAGAACGCAATACAAACTGGATCTATAGCACAACAAGGTATACAAACTTGTGAAAAAACAAGAATAGCTCAATATTTGCAAAGTTAACGTTTAAAAAACTGAACATCGTAAAAAAAAAAATTAAAAGGGCAATCTTTTCTTCGAAAATCATTAAAGGAGAACAAAATCCAAATGTGATCAGTAATACATCAAGATACCCTTATGTATCAAAAATCAGCAAAACATATTAAAGCGTTTAGAAAAGAAGTGAAAAAAAAAACAAATTAGCAGACTGACAGACAGACAAGGGAGAGCTAGACAGTGGGACAAACAGACAGAAAGACAGAAATACAGAGAAGTATAAAACATATATTAGACTGCCTTGTTTCACCAGTTGGAGACTAATAAGAGAAAGCTAGTGTTTTCCAAATATAATTAAGGAGGGTTTAAAGTTTTGTGGAAGTTATTGGTGTGTAAAGTACAGAGACTTATCACGTACTAGGAATACTTAATGAAGTGCCCTAGTTCATTCCGTAGTGCGTAAAATATTTTCCTATATATGTAAAAAAAATATTTCGACCCTGGAGGCATTTGAATCTTTATGTCCTAGGGTACATTTTCGTGTATTAAATCGGATGTTTAAAGTCCAGTCAATCTAGCTAAAAAACAACACAACCTCAAACAAATTGCAACAGAAATAATTCCAGTGGAATTTAGTTATTTAGAATATGCCTTTTGATATATCAAAACTCTAGAAAATTATATTTGTCCAAACATCTTTTTTTTTCAATTTTAAAAATATCCCCTTTTTCTTTAAAAATTCGATAAATCACTGTTTAAAGATAAAATCTGTTAATGCATAAAATTACCGTAAATCTGGAAATTTTTGCTGTAGATAAATTTTTAGAAAATTAGCGAGTTCATTGCATTTGCAAAAATATTTTTCTTAAAAATAAATTACCAATAAGAAAATGTAAACAAAGCAGTGGTAATTCGCAAAATTTTGAAACGTAAAAATTAATCAACACCATTTTGACCCGAATTCGCAAAATAAAATCGACGTAAAAATTTCCAGATTTACGGGTAGTTTTACCATCTATAATCTTAAATTCTCTTAACATGCCATGCAAAAAAGTGCCTGCAAACTAAAACTGATGATTAGTTCATTATATTCATTACTATGATTGCTGTTCCCATGGTGACGGACATAATTGAAAAATAAATCTATTTCAATTCCTTTGTATTGCTTTGAGCAACGACAAAGAATATGTAGCCATAATAGGAATAACAAGTTTGTTAAGAAATTTTTAAAAGAAAGAAATGTAGGGCACAATTAAACACACACATTCAAGGAATTTTGTTGTGGGGTGGGGGGGTGGGGGGGGGTTTCAGCCCCCTCCGTGACATATCTTCCCCATAGCGATTAATGCATGCATTCAATCTATTTATAAATTACCCCAACCTTAAACATATTACAACAGAAATTATACAGCTGATTTTTATAAATTGTAATGCTTCCATTGAATTATCAAAACTCTACAAAAATATATTTGTCCAAACAGTTTTTTTTTTGCTTTCAACCCCCACCCACAAGATTTTGTCTAAAAAGTGACAACCTATTTCTTACCAATTATTCTTAATACTTTAATCACATGTAAAATACAATGTACATTTTGCATGAAGTTGATCAATTGAATGTTAGAGACATCAGTTTTTGATCTACAGTTAATTTTGTATGTCATCCAGAGTAGGAGAAGAAGAGTTGGAACAATATATACCTCGACACTCTCAACAATTTCTAGAACAATCAATTCCATGCTTCTTACAGGTAACCGTTTTGAATCACAATTGACTTTACACGAACAGTGGATTATTTGACGTAACTTCTCTGGAGCTGGGGGGAGTGTGGCTTTAATAGGTATTAATTTGTTGTCGGATATAAAGAAGCCAAAATCAAGTGGGTCAAGTTGACTCCCCTTATCCATCCAAACCTTGTTCTGCAAATAAGCCCGTAAAACATGTAACCTAGCTGAATCCGATGTTGGGGGCAGGAAGTGAACCTGAACATACAAATTCCCCTCTAATACTCTTGCTGTGAACCTTCTGTAGCGCAGAAGGTTTAGATCTTCATACTGAATGCCACCATACAGTAGAACTAGAATTACTTCTCCAGCTTTCACAATGTCGTCATGCTATGTGCTATTGACAAACTGCATTAGTAGTGTCTGGAAGTCTGGATATTTCGTGTTTTTGAGAAGAGTCCCTTTTCCAATACCGTAAAATCTTGATGTCGTGTCACACCCACCCAGTGCATGGATTGATGGAAGAATTTGACAGATGACCTCCCCAAGACTTCTCTTTCCTTCTATGATGTTCCATACCTTTACTTTACGAAGTGATGTTTGTCTTTGTTCTGATTTAAGTAAATGTGCTTCATCTCAATGTCAGAACGATGAAGGAGGAGAACTAGAAGATCTTTGTCTTCACCAATTACCACTGTTTCATTTTCTTTAGCATGATTGATAGCAGTTTTTACAATAAGGAGGCCTGCATCCCCCGGCTTATTAAGGACTGTTGTTCCAGTCTTCTTCAATTCTTCCGAAACATATCAATGAACTTCTGTTTGTTTTTTTCCTTTGAAAGAAATATACCCTTCTTCGACATAAATGGCATGTCTTCCACGAAGTCTATTGCTTGGTTATTTTTCATCATTCTGGATCTGCGTGATGTCTTTGGTAGATGGCTTGTTTTGATAGCCATCAAACACAACCACAGCAGCAGCTCCATAATCGGTGTTTATATTTTGTCTTGGTAAAGTTATAATGATTTTCTATCCAACATCTTTTGCAGTGTCAGCATTGACAGATTTGTGAGCTATTTCCCCTGTGTGAATATTTCTCAGTTTGTTGTCACCTTCAAATGGATTGCGTAGTCTATGTAACTCTAAAACTGCGGAGATGTCATTCTTGTCTCTCGACATT